CGGCATACAGCAAACGCTTAATAAATGCTTACGACATAAATGTAATTTGATCTTTCCTTTAGACTCTTCAGTTGGCGTGTAAGATGACTGTTCTTTATTCTAGTTCATTTTTTGCATTTCTAAAACAGAAAGTGATCATGTGTGACTTTTTTCATTCATGAACAAATGACTCTGTTCATGTGTTTACTGAAATGTGGCTTTTTGTCGCCTTTGTGGGGTGTGTAGGCTGGTCCTGGCAGCGCATAGCTGTTGACTTGTGGAAAGCTATGACCTGAGGCTATGGGTCTGAGAGCCCCAAGCAACAGTTTCTGAGCCTATTTGTACAGCCCTCGTGTCTGAATGACAGATCCAAGGAGAAGACGTGTTTGGGGAATCTTCTGGTTTTCAGATTTTGTGGCTCACACAATCTCCAGCTGCTCATTTTTCCAGTAAAGAGCTAAATGTCCTTCCCAAAGCCTTTCCCCATATAGCGTATCTTATTTTAACTCCGCAGGGAAGCTGGCTGCAGGGTCTCCTTGCCAGCCCTATGGGGAAGGAGGAGAGGAGGGTGAAGGGCCTGGTCAGAGGTACTTGGGCCTGGAAAGGCTGCACACCATACACCTGGTCCCCAAGCAAGCACGTCTGCAGAGACATCCTGCTCGCGGAGCCAGCCAGAGACCAGACAGATCCTTCTCCTCTGGGGTGCACCTCTTTCCTCTGACCTGGGGTGCTGCGTACTCGGCAGCCATCAGCCGGGTTTACCAAGGGGTGCCCGTGTGGCCCAACACACCTGAGTATGCCCTGTGGTATTTTATGATTTCAAATCACCTTTACTCTATTGGCAAAACATTTTATGAACAGCCCAGCTGACATCCATTTTCAGTTTCTTTTCTTTTACATTCTCTACTTTTTCAAATTCAAGTTTTAAAATATGTTCACCATCTTGTCAGGCAAACTTGCATATCACTTATACAGTAACTCGACGGTACCAGGCCCTGGTACCAGAAGAAGGTTGAGGCAACACGTTTAGTCCATGATGAAAATTTCCCCAGGCTCACACGCCTGAAAATCCACTCTTTGTGATAAGATAAAATTAAGTAAAACACTGTCTTTTATTGTAGAAGATTAAAAATGGGAGAATCAAATACATAAATAAATCATAGTTATTCAAACTGAGGAAGGTCAGCAAAGAAGTAAAATTTTAAAACAGCAACAAAAATCATAGCATTGAAAAATAGTTATTCTGCCTCTTATATTCAAGGTACTGATATATAGAGATAATTTTTCTCCTCTATGTTGGCAAGTATCTATCTCGGAAATGAAATTACCATGTACCCTTGAGATACAAGTTGCTATAGAAATATAAATAATAAAATAAGTCTGGGGCTGTTTCCTCTGCCATGGTTTCTACAGATTTTCCCTTTGTTTTCACGACTTCTAGAATCAGTTGTATCATATGTTGAGAACATTTCTGACCCAGAGAAAAATCATTATAACCTAATTTTACAGCATTTTGCTTCACAATATCAATAATATTCCCTCCCTAGAAAAATCAGGTGAGATGCATATTTGGACAAGTAAAGCAATCCGATAAATCATTTCCCAGATGAGAAAGAAACCATGTGTGAAATGAAAGTTAGATGTTTTCAAAACCACTTCATTGAAGGCGAGGACACTAATCAATATGCAGTGGTTTTCATAATGAGAGAAATAGTGGCACGAAGGAACGTGCATGTGCGTGGGTCACCCGCCTCCCAGTGCGTTCTGTTCTTGAGTTCCCTGGCAATTGGATTAAAAGGGTCTATCTCAGCTGAATCACCAGCTGCCTTTAAAGGTTGAGGGAAAAAGCAGGTGAACTGGGGTGTCCCCAAACCAACAAATGTCCTCTGGGAACCTCAACCTGTCCATGTTTACAACGATGGTCTAAGATGTATTTTTAAATTCTCAATACATCTTTGATGCATATATTCAATATTTATTATATGAATATTATACATTTGTATTTCTACAAGGTGAAACAATCTAATAATAACACCAACTTTTACCTTTCGAGCCTGCATAAAGTAATGTGTTTAAACAAATTTTGTTCTTCAAAGTACTCACTTTGGAATGTTTTCAAAAATAGCTCTTTGGAATTATTTTCATGAGCTAGTTTTAGAAAGAAAATCATAAAAGAAAATCAATCTGTCAAAATAATCTCCCTCCCCATACACACACACGTGCGCACGCACACACACACACACACACACATACATGGATCGATAAAGGATAGCTACTGAATGTAGTGTTAGTATATCAATTCCCAAGTATTTAAATACAAAAGTCAGAAGTATTTAAGTAGAAAATTTTTGAAATCCACTTGACTTACGGACAGGAAGCTTTGGATCAAATTTGAAGTTCAGCTGTCACAATGATCGAGGCACTTACATCCTGTACATTTTGATAGTTTTCCTCCATAATTTTGTTTTCCCAGATGGGGATTTTTCATTTCTTTGGTACTTTTTCATAATCTTGCTAAATAGACTATATTGCATGTCATCCAAATTTTATTTAGTAAATAAAGATTTAAATATTTAATATACAATACTTAGAGTAAAATGGGACACAGGAAAGGTTAATGATTAGTCTGTACTTATATTTCTTCACAAGGGTAACTTGTAATCTTACAGTGCTAAGTATTTCCCTCAGTGCTTTTCATTTCTTTCCTCATTTGATTCTCAGATGTCACATAACTCGGACAGTTCCCTGTATCACCTAGAGGAAATTCTGACTCAAAACTAGGCCAAGATACAAAAGAAACTCTGAATGGAATCTTTTTTTTTTTTTGTAATTTCTTTGGTAGGTGCATTTTTGGAATACAAAATACACATGGTAAAAATTGTATATATATAAATTAAAATTTTAGTCTGAGCTCAGAACTGGTTCTTATCACTGTGAAATCTGTTTTATTTTTATTCTGTCTATAATGACAGCCCTAAAAATAAAGTCCTTTTCTATGAGGTAATGATTGTTTCAAAGCATTTCTGAAGACTATGAAAGTGCTTAACTGTTTACTTGCTCCTAAGAGACAGTAAACAAATACTGCTGAATGTATGAGTAATGATGTCTTGGAGAGCTGTTTTTCAATGCAATCATTGTAAATCTCATGACTTCCCGAATTCTAATTTGTTCCATGTTTACATCAGGGCAGAGCATGAGAACTGGCCCAGGATTTCACTGAGGGGCAGGAGTGAGCAGAACAGGCCAAACCAGAGGAAAACAGGAGACTACGCCGGGTGCCCACAGCTACCCGGTGGCGGCACCTGGGGCACGTGTTGTCAGCCTGTGGATATCCCTCAGCAGGTCCTGGGCACCGCTCTCCCTCGCACAGAAAGCCCTGCTGGGAGCCAGAGAGCCAGGATCTGTTGCTTTTCTCCCAAAGCCCCAGCTCAGTGGCGCCAGCATTGAAGAAACCTCTACCACACAAAAAGCACACCGAGGATCCACAGCTTTCTTTGAAAAATAATCTTTAAACTTATGCAAATAAATTACCCATGGCTACAGCTTCGTTTTGAATACCACAGAAACCAAGAGTCAGAAAAGTTAACAAGCCTAAGGTCTTACAGTGAGGACATGATGGAAGACAGTGTGAACACAGTTCCTTCCCTTCCAACCACAGACTCCACTATGAAACACTTTCTTCACAAAGTGCGATGATAGTGCCGACTGCAATGTGCAGTTCTGCAAAGTGCGGTTCTGCAAAGTGCAATCTCCTGGAATTCTTGTTCACTTTAGCACTGAAACAAACCAAGACCTTTTCACGAGTGTGATGACACACTCACTCCTGCTGAACTTCTCTTTGCTTCTCTCCTGTTATGTGTCTGCTGTTCCTAACACGATTTATCACGAACATAGCTCTGTTCTATTTCCCCTCGGAGCTGTCCTGTAAATTCCTAAGACACAGCTGTAGCATTCCAAGCCCTCTGGTATTCAGAACGCCTCACGCCCCAACACTATGTTATTTTATAGCTTCTCTCTTAGCCTCTATGTGCAGTGCCTCGAGCTTTTATTGCTTGCTGCGTTTTATGGGTTTCTCCAGGCCATGTATATTCATCGTGTTATAGAAATAATAACATATTAGGCAGTAAAATATTAGGCAGTAATACTTAGGTTGGGCAGTAAATTTTCGAAGGGGTGGGTATGGTTTTCCATGAGAACCAAAGGAAATAGAGAGACTTGAGTCTTCAGAGCTCTAAGATGATTAGTGCAGCTGCATTAATGATGTACCTGCTTAGCGGTGGTGAGTCGTGTTTACAGATCTGTTTACTGAGCAAGAGACCGGCTGCACGTCGCTACCGGGGAGCCTGGGCGTCACCACTCATCAGCCAAAGTCTCACTGCAATCCATTACACTTTGATATTTAACACTTTTTTTTTTTTTTTTTTTTGAGACGGAGTCTCACTCTGTCTCCCAGGCTGGAGTGAGTGGCCAGATCTCAGCTCACTGCAAGCTCCGCCTCCCGGGTTCCCGCCATTCTCCTGCCTCAGCCTCCCGAGTAGCTGGGACTACAGGCGCCGCCATCTCGCCCAGCTAGTTTTTTTTTTTTTTTGTATTTTTAGTAGAGACGGGGTTTCACCGTGTTAGCCAGGATGGTCTCGATCTCCTGACCTCGTGATCCGCCCGTCTCGGCCTCCCAAAGTGCTGGGATTACAGGCGTGAGCCACCGCGCCCGGCCGATCACCTTCCAAATGTTAGCACTTCCATTTTTTCCCTCCTCTCTGAAACTTTATACTAGTTACACTTGATTATTTTAAGGAAACTTGATAATTAGTAGATTTCGTTGTAGGAAAAAGAAAGGTTATCCACAAGAGACAAAACACCCTCGCGAATGCGACGGCGTAACGAACGCAATTAGGAACTGTGACTAAACGTCAGGAGGGTACATTGTGCCTGTGGTGCCGCGTGCTCCTCGCTCCTTCTAGGAGGAAGCCAGGGAAGCCCCTAGAGGCCCCGCCGAGAGGCTGCAAACGGCGTTCCCTTACCTGCTGTTGACCTGATGGTGGAGGTGAGGTCACAGGGTGTCACCACGGGAATACACTCGTCATCTTGGGAGTAGCCGGCCTGAATGGCTCGAAGGTAACTGTGGCTCCTTGTTCGGAAACATCCCGGGAGGTCGAGGGCGTCCATGGCCTGAGATTCGACTTCACTGAAGACGGACTCGCACACGGACTCGAACTGCCCATTGATGTCCGCCTCGCTCACCTGCAATCATCAACAGCACAGGTGATGCCCCGGCCTCCAGGGTCACCGTCACATTCCAGAAGAGCCAGCAGACAGCACTCATCCCCGGGCTCCCTTTCACTGCCTCGTATTTCAGCCCAGTGAACCCGAAGTCAGCACGGACAACGGCTGAGCTTGGGGAAGAGATCATTGGCTTATCCCTTACAAAACACTTAGGCAAACAGCCAGTCCCAAATGTTGATGAAATTCTGGGGGACCACAAGGCGAACCTTCGAGGTAAGGTTGACAGTTTTTACAAAGTTTAAGAGAGAGAGAGAGGACTTTTAAAAGATTAGCAAAGTACCTGGTACAAAGTAACTGTTTAGAATCCATTTCTTCCTTCCCTTTCCCGCATGACTGTCCCACCTTTCCAAGCTACTAATGGCGTGATGGCTCCGGGCACTGAGGTCGTGTAAGGAAAAGCCCATTCAGTGCGTACACTACTCAGTTCTTTTTCAGAATATGGAGTCTGCTTCTACCCACTGCCATGGCAACTCATCACAAATCTGGCTTCTAAACTCATCTCCTTCTCACCATTACGGCAACAATCTGAGTCCAGATGAGAAAGAAATGGCTGTACTGGTGTTTTTGTCCACATGAAACGTGCTACTTTACCTAAATTCCAGGCTTTCTTATTCTTCCTTAGCTCAGGATATTAGTATACTCCTTCCTTCCTTCCTTCCTTCCTTCCTTCCTTCCTTCCTTCCTTCCTTCCTTCCTTCCTTCCCTCCCTCCCTCCCTCCCTCCTCCTCCCTCTCTTCCTTCCTTCCTTCCTTCTTCCTTCTCCTTCCTTCTCTTCTCCCCCTCCTCTCCTCCCTTCCTCCGTTCTCTTTCTCCCCTCACCCCCTCCCATTCAGATTATTTCTCTTCTTGTTTCTCCTGGGGATGTGTGAGAGCTCAAAGCACCAACAACTTTCTGAACTCCCTGGATTATGTTGGCAGATACATTTTAAAAATATACTGTTTTAAACACCAGATTTGTTCTTTTCCTCTAGTTGTCAGCAGAGTAAAAGGCAAAGTGAAAGAATCAGGTTCTTCCTCTAGTAGTTGTGTTGTTGACACAACACGACACTTGGTGCCGTCTCCAAGTTCAGACCCGTGGACTTCTCTGGTTTCACCCTGAGGTGACCTACGTGCTGGAAGGACACGGCCTCTTTCCTCGTGAGCCTAAGTCAGCACTGACCCTGGACAGGCAGAGGGTGAGCAAAGGGCAGCGAAGCCTGAAGCCACCCTGCAGGGAAGACAGGCCCACGCCGGGCTGCAGAAAGAGCTGGCACAACACCGGCGGGGTGGCCTTTTTCAGAAAGATCTGAGGATTCCTGATGCTGGACAGAGACAGACAAACCCAGGCAGGCACAACCAGGACAGAGCCGGCAGGACGGCCTCAGGAACCCAGCAAAGTGCTCAGAAACACGCACACTGGCTTGGAAACGGGATGTTTTTCTGGACCATAAATTTCTTCCAATCTAAGTTTTCACTTACGTAGAATTGTATGGAAAAGTCTTAGATTGTGTCATTCCTGTCAAAGATCTATAGTAGACAGTGTGAGAAGGTCCGAATCTATGTGAGGCCCTGGTACGCCTCAGTGGACACCCTTCTGCAAGCCCGGCCCTGGGCCCAGCTGCCCTCGCTCTTAAAGAATCTCGAGACACCGTTAACCTGGTGCGTGCATTTCACAAACAGAAGCTGGCATCTCAGCAAGGACCCTTGGCTGTGCTTCCAGCTAAAAGCCTTTCAATGAGGTTCTAGACATGAAGTTGACTCCTCCTCCCCAAAACAAATAAAAAGTGGTTGAGGAGCATCTCAAGTTGGTCCAGCAGGGAATTAAAATGATCCGTTCACCCAGACCTCCCGCCGAGACTCAGGACACCCAGACCTCCTGCCGAGACACTCAGGATGTGGGGACCTCTGCCCGAGACTCTCGGAACACGAGCTGCAGGAAACCCAAGCAGAGTCCAGCTACTGAGGTTCCAACGAGGAAACAGCATGGACATAAGTGCCTCTCACAAGACTTCAGTTAGATTGTTAATTCCCTTTTTGTGCTTGAGAAAAAATTGAGTGTTAAAGATGAAGGGCAAACTTTTAACAAACTTTGGTTTGTCACCAAATTCACATCTCCCTAGAGCCCTGAAGTGTTAGAAATTCCAGCTGTCCCATCCTCGACCACGGGAACTGTCCCCTCTCCTTCCAGAATTGTTGGGTCTCATGGCCTAGGGCTGGACAATCAATTAGTGGAAGTTTATTTCTGGGTGTGATATAGTCTCAGCTACTACTAGCGTTCCAGGATTATTTTAAATAACTTTTTTTTTTGAGAATTCAGAAATGAGTTCAATTTAAAGTAATGCCACAGAACTCTGCATAGGAATGACTTAGAATTCTAAATTTCAAAGTCGTTAAATAAACCCCCAAGCACCCAACTTGTCTGCTTAACCATTGTTTCCAATGTCAATCCTTTCAGATAGAAAAAGATGTGAGAAAATGTTATTTTTACTGGCTTATTTTTGTAGATACCATCTTGGGTTCATCAAAAGCAAGATGACGAGAGAACTAGTATATTTAGCTTACGTTTACCCCCAAAAATGGCGACGAGTCGCAGAGAGCCTCTGAAAGTTTCATAAAAGTCTCTAAAGAGGTGTGAGATCCATTTAATTGAAACTTGTTTGTGGAAAGCATTAGAGATGAACGTTCATACCTCAGATGGGGTACCTTTGCACTTCTGTTTAAACCTTTTGTTGGGTTACATCTGATTTTTAAAGCTGTATTTTGGTAAACCAGGTTATATCAACTGAAACGGAAGGTGCCAGCTTTAAAAGAAGAAAGTTTGCTTTATCCTCATCTCTGTGTAGCGAGAAAGTTGTTAAAACGTATCGGCTGGGCGCGGTGGCTCAAGCCTGTAATCCCAGCACTTTGGGAGGCCGAGACGGGCGGATCACGCGGTCAGGAGATCGAGACCATCCTGGCTAACACGATGAAACCCCGTCTCTACTAAAAAAAAAAAAAGATACAAAAAACTAGCCGGGCGAGGTGGCGGGCGCCTGTAGTCCCAGCTACTCCGGAGGCTGAGGCAGGTGAATGGAGTGAACCCGGGAGGCGGAGCTTGCAGTGAGCCGAGATCCGGCCACTGCACTCCAGCCTGGGCGACAGAGCGAGACTCCGTCTCAAAAAAAAAAAAAAAAAAAAAAAAAAACCAAAAAAACGTATCACTGACTTTCAGTTACTCTGTTCAGGTAATTTGTGTCTCCCAAAATCATCTCAGACTTTATGCTGAAACAGAATATTTCCTCAATTATTAAAATAATTACAATTATCTAGCTGCTGAGGGTCCGTTGATGTTACTGTTTGCAGGGGGCTGGAGGGCCCACCATTCCCATTTGCCCAGGACTTGAGTGCAGGGCTAGGGATGGCCTTTCCTTGTCATTGGGAAAAAGAGTCAATGCAATTCCTGCCGCAGATGAGAACTTAATCCCATTTCTGGAAGCAAAGAGGTAACTGGGTAGATAAAAGAGGCGGTAGCCTTCTTGAGTTGTGGACTAGGAAAAACCTTAATAGTTCAGTGGAAAAAGTTCCAAGTACAACTTTCTGATGAGAAAAAAACCTGCACAATGAATAGACTCTACCTCATGAGGAATTTAAAGTCTGTGGCAAAAGAAAAGACTCGTGTTTACTGAGCCCCAGGGATGCTTCCAAGAGCTCATAGCACGGTCTGCAGTCAGGGGGGCTTTCGTGCCCAGAATCATATACTATTACTTACTGTTATCATGGTAATAATAAGCGCTATTGTTTTTGAGTAGTCAGTATATGCTGGACTCTTTACCTAATAACATCCAAAATGGACTGCGTACTTATTTGGTCACGCGGTGAACGGCATCATGGGAGGGCACGGAAAGCCCAGGCTAATCCTACTCCACAGTAAGTCAGAGAAAATGTTCGGTCAGCTCAGGCTCTTAATCCCTACCCCACACGAAGAGAAAACGTTAGGTATACAAACTCAAGGTCAACTCAGGCACTGTTTTCCGAGGCATTAAAATGAGTAAGCAATGTGTGCAATTAAAATGATAAAATTTCGATTCTTCTTTACCATATAATATAGGATGATTAGACTGAAGGACACCTGCCCATTTTGTCACCATGCGTTCTCAGGCCTGTCCACCACAGGTGGGGGAGCAGAGGGACCTCCCTTTCACAGCCCCCGTGTCTCAGGGACCTGATTTTAATACGACCCCTCGCGTGGTGCCCAGGGACCCTTCTCCTGGCCACTGTGCCTGTCCTGAAACCAGCCCTGCCTGGGAGTGGGCCCGACCGGCAGGACTCTGTGAGTGACACCAGGCCCTCCTCTCACAGGACTTTCTGAGGCACAATTCAGAGGACACAGCTGAAAGCCGTGCTGCCAGAGCCTCTCCCTAGCCCCCTGTTACTGGAAAAGAGCCTGGGTAGAAGGAAGACAGCCTGAGAGGCCAGGATGTCCAGCCTTCCGGTCATTGCTTCCCCAGAAAAAATCATCGCAAAATGACACGGAGTGACACACGTCGAAAAGAATAGTAAGTCCGTGAGTCTTTGATCGGTCAGAGCTAATTCCAGGCGGAACCCCCTGCGGTGTGGCCTTGCACACGCGCTGCTGACGGGAGGGCAGTGCCATTGCCACCTGCGCACGGGGCCTCTGTGCCAGCCTGGCTTGGGAGACTGGACCCCCGGGGAAGGGCGAAGGGACCCGACCTGGCTCACGCAGCTGGCCTGGCTCAGGGTGCTGACGGCCCTCATGTAGCTCTGGTTCCGGGAGCGGAATTTCGGGGAGTTGTAGTTCGCAGCGGGGTCCAGGCTGTGGCCCACAGGCACGTCGCTTGCAGCTTGCAGGTAGCTTTGGCTACAGGAAAGAAGAAAGGAGAAAAGGTATTCTGTGAGTACCCACCGCAGGGGAGAGATGGGAACGACTGTCCAACCCACACCAAGAGGCTGACACCCACCGCAGGGGAGAGATGGGAACGACCGTCCAACCCACACCGAGAGGCTGACACCCACCGCAGGGGAGAGATGGGAATGACCATGTAACCCACACCAAGAGGCTGACACCCACCGCAGGGGAGAGATGGGAACGACCGTCCAACCCACACCGAGAGGCTGACACCCACTGCAGGGGAGAACCCACACCGAGAGGCTGACACCCACTGCAGGGGAGAGATGGGAATGACCATGTAACCCACACCGAGAGGCTGACACCCACCGCAGGGGAGAGATGGGAATGACCGTGTAACCCACACTGAGAGGCTGGCACCCACTGCAGGGCAGAGATGGGACCGACCATCCGACCCACACCGAGAGGCTGGCACCCACTGCAGGGCAGAGATGGGACCGACCATCCGACCCACCAAGAGGCTGGCACCCACCGCAGGGCAGAGATGGGAATGACCATGTAACCCACACCGAGAGGCTGACACCCACCGCGGGGGAGAGATGGGACCGACCATCTGACCCACACCGAGAGGCTGGCACCCACTGCAGGGCAGAGATGGGACCGACCATCCGACCCACCGAGAGGCTGGCACCCACCGCAGGGCAGAGATGGGAATGACCATGTAACCCACACCGAGAGGCTGACACCCACCCCAGCGAGAATGGGCAACCGACCGTCCGACCCACAGAGAGGCTGACACCCACCGCAGGGCAGAGATGGGACCGACCATGTAACCCACACCGAGAGGCTGACACCCACCGCAGGGCAGAGATGGGACCGACCGTCTGACCCACCGAGAGGCTGACACCCACCGCAGGGCAGAGACGGGAACGACCGTCCGACCCACCGAGAGGCCAGCATCACATTTCCAGCGGAATGTCTGTGTCTTTTGATGGGTAGCTTTGCCTTATGCAAATATTCTGAGATTCACATTTACGATTGTGAATTTCATCAAAAGTAATAGGGGAGGCTATTTACAAAATTGCCTTTGAAACCTGAGATTTTATGGCCAGGCAGTGAAATTAAGATCATTCCACATTTTTTTTTTAGAAAAGTGCTGAAAGCACTAGTAACTCCTACAGCATAATAGCAAACTCAGCTCCTGAATTTACGCCAAAAAACTGAGAGTTTCATAAAAATTATTAGCTCTCTGGCAACTTTACGTATTTAAAAAGTAACAGAAAAAATACAAGGCTCGCTTTCAGTTTTAACTTATGCAAAGCTGTCCAGGTTATGCAATATCGGCAAATATAATAGGAGTAGGCTGAGTGAAATCCATTTTATTATCATAATGGTCATTTCCTTCCAAACTCCCTTAAAATAAATCAGCGTTCTTTGGTCTTCCTTCTTGCCATTTTGTGAAATGTTAAAAGCGTGGAAGAACCCTGTGAGTGTTTGGTAGATCGAAGGTCTGGCTTAGCTTACATTTCTGTCTAACTGGACCACTTTCCAGTTTTATTGACAATCTTTCCACAATGCAGCAAAATTCATTTCATTTTATCAAAAGCTGTAAAAATGTGGACAGAAATGATTAATTATTCTTCTTGCCTCTTTTGGATCATAATAGGAACATTAAATATCAGTGCACAAGCAGGTACATAAAAATGTATCCAGATGTTAGGTGGATGATTCTGACTCCAGAGCTGGGCATTAAAGCACGCACTTGCTTTTCAAATTAAACACTTGGTGCAGTTTTTCTCTGATTTACTTCAGTCTTTAAAAATGGAATATCAGAGAAAAAAACTGGACTCCATGAATTCTTATTAAGTGAAGCTTATTCATTATAGATTTAAAGTCATTCTTTCTGCTAAATATTTTTGCTTTAAGAGAAAATGTATAACATATTCCAGCTCCTACCTATCTTCCCCTCCCTGACTTAGACCAAAAGAGAGAGAGAGAGAGAGAGAGAGAGAGAGAGAGAAGGAAGGAAGAAAGGAAGGAAGAGAGAGAGAGAGAGAGAAAGCAAAGGGAGAAAATTAGTTTTGAGCCAATTCTAAATTCACTATGTATGAAGCACATGGTCTTCACGTCGACGCCCGCCGACTCCTGCTGCACCTGGGCAGTGGGATGGGCAGCTCCGCTGCAGATATGGGGACCTGCACCTGCACCAGCAGGGGCCCTGTCCCCTCCCCTCCTCTGTGGATCCCCCAGGTCGCCTGCCAGTGAACACAAAGTGAACAAACACGGACCCCTGACCTTGGCTGTCACCACCCTGAGTGCACAGGTTCCACAGAGCGGCAATATGTCAACAGTATTCTGAGATATGGTCGCAAGTTTGAGGCTCAGGTTGATGGATGCGTGGACTCATTCTGCAAGAGACCACTGCTGGCTTCCTTTGAATGTGTCCACGTGCCTGTGCGTGTTTAACACAGGGTCATGTGCAGGGGACGGAGCCCTGAGCTATGGAGCCCAAGCTATGTGGCCTCAGGTGGATGCCAAGAACCCTGACTGAGGCTCTTAACTTGATTCACCTTTGTCTTTGCAGAAACATAACCCTCCTGCAATTGTCTTTGCAGAAACATAACCCTCCTGCAATTGTCTTTGCAGAAACATAAACCTCCTGCAATTGTCTTTGCAGAAACATAAACCTCCTGCAAGTCTGCTCTCCTTCTGTGCTTCCTTGAGATTGCTGGTTTCGTAACCTGCATTTCTACTAATCAGCACTTTCTACCAATTACCAATTTTCTTCCAATACAACAGCCGTCCCTTCTGATTAATACCACCATTTTGCATTTTAACATTCTCAAATTGAGGCTGCCTTCTAGACTGAGAAAACCTACAAGAAGGATTCTCACCCTCTGGATCTGCTGTCTAAACAGCGCGTGGTACGCAAACGAAGGGATCACTTCGAGCCACAGCTCATCACCCTGGCGGTGGCTGCTGGACGGCCCTCACAGGTGGATCAAGGTGCTTTGTGAGTCTATGTTTCAAATACGTATTCTCTCAATGATTCTCTTTATTTCAAAATGGGATGTGACATGTAAATGTTGCCACTGAAGACAGCTAATAATTTTTTTTTAAAACATGGACTCACAATAGCTAACCTTTTCTAGGCACGATTATGCCAGAGATGCTAATAAGTGTTTTGCATTGTCCTAACACAGTTAACTTTTACATTAGTCCTATAAACCAGGCCTCTTCCCAACCCTCCTCCTATGAATGCAGCATCAGATGCGCACTGGTGTCAGGTCACCACGCACTGGTCACACTGGTGCCAGGTCATCACGCATTGCTGCCAGGTCACACACACTGGTCACACTGGTGCCAGGTCACCACGCACTGGTGCCAGTTAAAGCACTCAGGCTTGGGCGGGGTGGGGGCAGCGCTCCCCTCTGAGTCCAGGCATCTTGACTCTGGAATTCATGCTCTAAAATCTCAAGGTCACAGCTGCTGAGTCACAGGACTACGGAGCCCAAAAGATCCCATCCTCTGACACAGACATTTTAAAAAGTTAAAAAATAACAAACAAAACCTCAGCCTCATTTGGCTTAAGAGGCTTTTAAAAAAATATTATAATGGCTTAGCATTTTATCATATAGCGTCCCAGAAGGCTTGGTTCCTCACAGTCACAGATCAAAACTCAAGAACTAGGACCGGGGGCGCCGATCGAGATGGGGGGATGCACCCTCTGGCGCCCTGCCATGTGACACACGGTGACGCCCCCAGCACTGCTTGCTCCACAAAACCCGTCTGGCGCTTCCTCCTGAAAATCCCCCACGGACATCCCCGGGCATTTTGAAGTTGACTTTCAGTCCCTTTGGTTATCTCTCCAAGTGGTCAACTTCCTACGGCATCCCAGGTGCCAGAAACAGAAACATATTTTGCTATATACACTTAGTAGCTCAGAAATTTTTTTTTTAAAATAGTGAAAAGTTTTCTAGAATAACACAGAAATGTTTTTGTTCTAGTTGTGCCTTTCAGATGTCGCTCCCCTTAGCTTGTCATCCACACACAAGTGAGAGGGCAAGCCGTGCAGGTGAATCCACAATCCCGAGAGAACCGCAGGATTCCTGGTGTTCAACCTTGTTCTCGCCACGTGCGAGTGGTTCCAGAGCTGCTTGCTGAATCCTGGCTCAAAAGCTCCTCTGTGACTTAGGTCACTATGAGAAAAAACGTACATAACAAAGGTACCCTTGAAAGGGCCTCTGACCCCAGCTGTTTAGATCCATCTAAACATGCTTGAAAATACACAGCGTAAACCATCTCCTTTGTTACCTTCGAAAGCAGTAAGGATTCTATGCAGGTTGTGCTAAGGAGACATTTAAGATTTTTTTTTTCCATACTAAATGCGTTCATTTGAAATACAGAGAGCATCTTCTCATTTCTATAAATGGGATCTGACAGGAGAAGCTCCCAAATATAAGAAGCGTTTCTTTCTCACTGCATTCAACGGAAAATGGAGCACGCTAAACAGCGCTAGTGAAACAGACATTCGTGTGCACACGCGTGTGTGTGCTGTGTGTGCACGTGTGTGTAGTATTCCACCTGCAAAAAGGAAATTCTTAGAACACCTTTCAGTACACATTTTAAATAATATCACAGTGCATGACTGGATTTCAGAAAATGGCTTCTTTCCTGATTATTTCCACATTCAGGGTAAAAAGCGTTCTTGAGCTTTCTGTGCCCTTGCAGGAGATGAAGGCATGCTTGTTCCCTCACTGCACATTTTTGGGGAAAACCACATTTGCATCTCACTGTTGGCGCCCACATCTGGGCTGCCCCACAGTTACCCCGACAACCCATCTCTGGGCTCTTGACTGCAGAGGCTCGGAAGCGCCACACCCTTGCTTGGACGCCCTCCTGGTGCTGACGGAGCCTCCGAGGTGTGACCCCGCTCCAGCTGGTGAGTCCATGGAGCACCTGCTCAGCGGCTTCTGAGCAGAGTCCGGCCTTCTCCATGCTGACGACTGCTC